CCATACTCTGCATACGTTATATGAAAGAAACAACATCCTTTCAAAACTTACTCAGGATCACCACCCAACCAAACCAAGTACTGACAGAGAGCCTGTAAAGAGAGCAAATCTTCCCAGGACACCCCAAGATATTGGTGGGCAAAGTAGATGATGACACCTCTGGAAATTTCTTCCTCGCTAACCTGCTTTTAGGAAAAAAGCACTGACAGCTGCAGATACTTAGCATTTCTTAGCATCGAGTTCTTACTCCACAACAAGGCATGGTAAATTTAATGATTACTTTAACATGAGAAAAAAGAAAACAAAAAAACAAAAAAAAAACCTAATTTAAAAAAAAAAAAAAAACCAAACCCTGAGGTCCACATGTACCTAACTAGACAGCAGCTGGCTATCAGTTCCCAGTTATCAACTACTCCCAGTACACTTGCCAAAAAGGCCCAGTTCTCCATGGCTCCACCCTGTACCAGGTATAAAATAATGCAAGTTAAAGTTGGTGGAGTTTGTACCCCTTGACACCAACACTGTATTGGTAAGAATAACTACACAAAGTGCTGGACAATAAATACTCTGTTAATTTGTTACACACAATTATGAACTTCCTTGCTAAAATAATTACATTGAAATCCACAGGTAAGCAGGTAATTCTTAATAAATACTGTTTGCACCATTCTTAGCCTTGTATTTTGGGTTCTAAAATGAAGCCACAAATTCCTGTATTTGTGGAATTTCTGTGCTTCTTAGGAAGGAAAATATTTCCTTGCTCCTTTATATATAAGCTTTCTGAAAAGAAAATAATGAAGTGATACCCTGCGTATCTTACTAACAGCTTGGCAGGGCACAGTAAGGAAGGAAGTAAAAAATGCCCCAAGCCTATCTGGAGATGGATCAGAAACCAATCATATTAACATCAGTTACAACATTAATCATCTATGAATGTGTTAATAAAAGAACTGCTCCTTTCTACCTGTTAATTTATTAAAATGTCAATTCTTTTGTCACTTGTGCAACAGTATATCCTACTGTCTAGAGAAAAGAAAAGGTGTAAAGAACTTTACCTTTTTTGCTCTTTGTGCTATATTAGGTGTTCTAGTAAGAAGCTTTTCAATCAGGTATTCTCTATTCTGGAAAGAAAGGAAAAAGCATTCAGGGCATTACATCCAATGCAAAGAGTGCAGACCAGTAAATTTGAACCAGGGCATCTCACACTTAGGCTAGGGACAGAAATTACATACAAACTGGTTATCAGAAACTAGTTCAAATCTGTAACACAACAGGGCTAAGTACAGATATTCAGGAGGTTAAACTGAGTCCAAAATGGCCACCTGATTTAAACTTTGCTCATCCCGGTGCCAACTTTACACTTACAGACCCAGTCCCAGTGACTTGCAATCAATCTAATCCTGTAACTGAACACAAGTCCCTGCACACAAACCAGTCTAAAAACTGCAGAACCCAAGATATACCTGGATCTATGTAGTACCAGACTCATCTGATTTAAGTCAAAACCAGTGCATGGAACTTCTGTCCACTTCTCCTGGGCATCCCCAGAGCTGGAAAAACTTAGCCACTGGCCCCAGCCCAGAAGCTGTTTTTTTTACTCCTACTTTCCCCTACATTGGTCTTTTTTTAGGCCCCTGGACCTTTGCTCAACCCCCAGCCACCCTCTCAGTTCCCATCCCACAAGCTGCTCTGGATGCAGCTGCCATTATCAGCATTTACCACTGCCAGAGCTGAGCAAATAAGTCCTGGAGATGGGAGGGGAGGGAGGGATGGGGATGTAGGTTTGCTGGGGGCCCCACCCCACCAGACCCCACCCAACCCATAGATCACACCTGCCCCCCCTATACCCTGGCAGACCCACAATCCCCCTCAT